CGTAGGCCGCCGCCGCCGCCGCAGCAGCACCAATAGTCAACAATAGCAATAAATAGGTAGGCTCGACTATAATTGTACCACCTACTTATCGATAATAATAATTCAATACACAATAATATTTACTGTTTGGTTCGCGGCGGACGGATAACGTAACAGTCGACCCAACTGCGCATACACAAAAATCACAGTCCCATCCGATCGTTGTTTCCTCGCCGACGATTATACAAGAGCTCGAAGACTCGCGTAGTCGTGTGATCGAGCTATGAACGACGACGGCAGTCGACAGGCAAAGCTCGAGGATCTGGACATCACCAAACAGGAATTGGACAGCATAGGTGAGGCGTTGAAGAATGAACAGTTCCGCAAACTGCTGTGCGAGTATGTAGACGAGATCAACGACCCGGAAAACCGAGCGCAGTACGAGCGGGAGATAGAACAGTACGAACTGGAACGCGGCACTAGAGTGACATTCGTGCGCCCTCAGCCCGGGTACGTGGTGAAGACGAGCGCCAACGGCGTGCGAAAGGTGTTCATCAACGTGTGCTGTTGCGATGTGCTGCAGAAGCCGACCAGCCATCCGGGCAGTGGCGGTGACCATTGGTCTCTGCCACACTGCCTGTCACCAGTGCGCGAGGACTACGACAAGGCCCATAAGCCGTGCGACGTGTACGATGTGGTATTTCATCCAGACGCTCTCAAGTTGACCACGCATGGCAAGAGTCTGAAAGATATGGTTGAAGACACGGCACTCAGTATGGTCGAGAAGAACAACAATGTAGTGTTGGACAAGGCTAATCTCAAGTATCCAAAAATTGCATTCAAAGGTGTTGCTCGGTCGTTGGTCATACGTAAGCCGATTAAGGATTTCCAGCCGTCTGCCGAACTCCAGTCCGCTGAATTACCTGGGTGTCCTTATAAGCCACCAGTTGAACGACCAGTTCAACATCATGACCTGGGTGCGTTGAAACAAAAATCACTGTTTACTGTTCCTAAGTACATCATTAAATATCGAAACGACATTGACATTCAAGAACATGGATATAATATGCATTGTAAAATGAATGCAGTTATACCAAAAGAGTTAATTATTGAAATTAACTTACCGCTTTTGGACTCTACGGCCAATGTAGAACTTGATGTGCTCCCTAAGACATTGAACTTAGTTTGTCATAAGCCTTCAAAGTATAAACTTGATATCAATTTGCCTTATTGCGTACTAGAAAATGAAGGTAATGCTACGTTCGATCAAAGTACTAAAAAGCTAATTATACGCCTTCCAGTTTTGCGGTCAGAGCCATCTCTAGAGTATGTAAAAAACCTTGTTAGTGAGGTTGAAATGTCAAAAGATGAAAATGGTCATGACTTCGATATTGCAAATAGTAATTTAGATGCGGTTGTGCTCAATAGTGAAGTTAACAATGACGTCCAAGATTGTAATAATATGGATGTTAATAAAGCTATAGTCACTAATGGTCATGACAATGTGAACACAAATGATCTTAAGGACAAAACTGTGTTTAATAGCTGTAATAATAGTAATATTACTGAAAATAATGTACACTATATCCTGCCAGAACACGAATTTATTTTTGAAAATAAATGTTTTCTTACACTCAATGTAAAAAACGTTGATCCGACATCGATTGATGTGATAGTTATTAAGGACAAAAATTTGATCTCCGGCAAATTCCATTCCATTGGTTCGGGATTTTTTCCCATATGGTTTGCTTTTTGCTTAAAAATTCCATCCGAATCGAGCTTATTAAAGTCTGATGTTAATGTATTACCTTCTGATAAAAATGTTATACTACATTTTTCCATACATTCTAAACCAGACAACAATCAATATTGCTATGGACTTGACCAAGATAACTTAAAAATTCAGTGTATTAAAATGGAAACATTAAAAGAAAACTCAAAACCCTTAACCAATGGTGCTACAATTCATCTGAATGACAGTGATGATGATGATGATGATGATGATGATGACGATGATGTATTTGACGATAGTAAAGAAGAGGATGAATTAAATAATGAAAAACCACAGAGCATCAAGAAGAATGATGACAATTATCGGTGCAAAGATAAAAATGGTAAGACAACCAAGGAAAAAAGAAAAAAAAAGAAGGGAAAGAAGATTCAAAAATCAAATGCCATACCAATAGCTGTTGCCGGCGGCTTACCAGAAGCCAGAAAAACAATAGATTTCATTCCCGGCTCGTTACCAATTGAATTTAATAACGTCAGACCAACAATTGTAAGTGATTATGCTATGAATGAATAATATTGTAATTTTTTTCTTCTAAATTTACAAGTATTTAAATTAATATTTTTTTTTATTCTTTTTAATAGCGTGGAATCTTAAAAAAAAGAGCCTTGTCTGAATGTAGTACCATAGATGATTCAAATTTGTCTTCTCAAATATACAGTTCATCTGTGGACAACGTGGACACTGAAAGTTCAGATGTACTGGGGTCAAGTATGAATGATTTTAATTCAAAAAAAACTGTTCGTTTTAATGATCATGTCATCGAAAAACTGATTAAGTATGCATTATAAAATTTCATAAATATTTAAATGGTATTTCTTACAACATTTTCAATTTTCAGTTTCAATATAAGCATAGCGGCACAAGCAAAAAAACACAGACAACGTCAGCAGCGTAAACGCAATATACGAGAATATAATACTCCTAGTGAAAGCGAAGCGTCTGAAGCTGAAGACAGAGCATACGGACCACTAAATGTGGTTTCAGAAAGCGATGTGACTAGCGTGTCAGAAAGCAGTGCTGGTGAAATGTCTGATGACAATAGTAATAGTACACCAACTATGAAATCGTCAAAAGTTCCAGTTGTAGCTGACTCTAAGAAAGACCATAAACGCCGCAAGAGTAAATCAGCTAGGAAAAACGCTTCACTTGCGAAACAGGCATCAACCAACAACTTGATTTTTCCTATTGAATATTGAGCAATACCGAACATCAGACCTCTTTTTTATTACTTAATAAAATCATTGAATCATAATATGTTAAACATTTATTTATTAAATTACTGTTTGGTTTATTAGAGGTTTCTTTGGGTGCGTAGTGTGATTTATTTTTATTTTAGAAACATATATTACACATAGATTTTATTTGTAAATTATTATCGTCTTGTTCGTTTTTTTCACCAACATTGATTGATTTTATATTTTGTAAACTGTTGCAGTGATTTTGTATTGAAATATACGTGTCCATGTTAAAACCAAAATGCTTGTTGGATTTTATTTGTTTTTTTGTGATTTTTTCAATGATACTTACTGTTATTTATATGAAGCCAACAATTGTTTAGAATGAAATACAATAGTTGTAGTGTGAAATTAAAATAATTTTAAATGTAACCATTGGTTAAACATTGGGATCACTAGTTAAATATTATGTTTGATTGTAACATACATTTGATAGAATTATTATGATATTTATTATAGTTTTATAAATTTAATTGAAAACAAGAGTTTTTGTATAAATGATGCTTATCAATTGTCGTTATATTGAGACATTGAGGTACTGTACAAGATAAAATTCATAAGCAGAAAATATTGTAAATAAAACTTTATGTGACTAGGCCAGTTGTTGTATCACAAACCAAACAACTTGCTTAAATACTGAAATGGTATTTATCTCAAATGGAAAATCATATTGGGACACAGGCATTTGTTGTCCCCGTATAACCGGTTGCGTAGCAAGTCACATTTTGTTTTGTTAGCTTAAAAATTACAGTGAATCCGATTCACTGAATCAACCTATTATCAACTTGATGGTATCAACATTATATGTGTGTCTGTACTTGGGTTTCTTACGGTAGTTTTTAATTTTTGGTTGTATACGTCATACGATATAGTATAAATTAAAAATATCCTGAACTCACTTAAAAATAAACTATAGTAAAAAACTCACAAGGACACAGATTATGTTCTTATCATCATGTCGATTCTCTCTAATTTTTAAACTAAAAAAGCTAAATGTACTCTGCTGAGAGTACATTTTGTGTGTCTTCTTAAGAATGAAACAAGAATATTTATTTTTAAAATAATTATTGCTTTTCAATGTGGTAATTAAAAGATAAGTAAGGCGTAATTAATAACTATTTATAAAACTCTCAAGCATACATTGCATTTACATAGTACATAATTTAGTTAAAATGGAATTTCCTAAATCTTTTTAAGGTGTATGACTTTAATTGGTGCTCATTCTATTTCGGAATAAAAATTTTGTAATGTAATAACTAGGTAAAAACATGTTTTATTTAATATTTATTGATACAAAAATAAATTCCACAGAACATGTCATACAATGCTGTTTGTGATGATTAAATGATATAAAATTGTTTGATTTGTATCTATTAAGCTTACATTGTTATAACAATGAAATAAATATAACATTTTAATAATACATCAACATTTTGAAATATATTTAATACAATTGAATAATCTTAGTTTATGACCAACAGACACAGAAAATGTGTTTAAATATACTAAAAAGTCAAAAGAAATATACAGAACTGTATAGCATGTAAGTCCATAATACATTGTACAAATTAAACATGTTATAGACTAGAGTAAACATTTTGTTTCATAAATAATAAATTAAAAATGTTATACAGTTTTTAAAAACATAAATAAAACAAAATATGTGAATAATAAAGGTAATCAATAAAAATAAATTAAACAGTGATAAAAGTCACACAGCAATCACCAGTCTTATTAAATTATTACATTAGTTTGTGATTTAAAATCTTAAATTAAACAATTGACTTTATTTTTAATTTATTAACATAATACTAATTATTAAGTATCATTGTTATGTTAAATCTTTGGCAAAGTTAATCAGAGTAACAGTATAAACACTGAACAGTATACCAATCGTTTGTAAGAATATCAACGCGAATTGTTCAAATTAAAAAAATATCTTAATATATCCGTATAGTACAACGTATGAAACATAAAACTAAGGATACAGGCTGTCAGTGAATTTCTAACTTTTTTTTTAACACTAAATATGTTAACATCTTCAATAACAAGTAAATGGAGGTAACGGCAAGGAAATTAAACCAATACTTGTTGTCTGGCATGTCTAAATCTTTTAATATAGTTGATGGCGAAGAATTGTAACAGTAAATCTGAAATTATTTTCAGAATTTAAATATTGTATAAGATAACTTTGAATCTTTCAAACATGTCACTAATAAATAATAACTTACTTTGGGGCAATATAACCTGGGTCGATCTAAACCGTAAACACAATGCACTATTCCTTCCATGGCATGTTTCATAAATGAAATGTCAAACAACCATCGAAAAATCTCTGGCGTGTCAGATATTTTAATGAAAATTCCGCCAAACATCATCCACGGCATGAGGAGGAAGCTTGTTAGAATCGTGCTGAACTATGAACATAATATCAATAAAAATTAATTAACACTAGATAACCATTAATGCCATATACATATTATATACCTAATACTCACTCTTAAATCGTTGAATAATGTTCCCATTAACATGCCTATGGTTTGTGATAACAGTCCCACCATTAACATCATGAGTGTATACAACCCAAACCTTGGCCATTCAAGTGGCTGTCCAGTGAAATAGTACAAGACCACACAGTACAAAAACGTACACAGAACCTGAAAAGTAGAAATATAATTTATTAGTTGTGTAAAAAAAATACTATCTGATATATTACTGTTTGTTTATGTTTATTGTTTTTTGTACACATGGCTGTGTACAATTTTTTCAATATTGTATAAATATATTTTCACTGTTTTCTTTTTTCATTGGGATTTTTCAAATTATTACCTGAATTGGCAGATCTACTATAGTGAAACTCAGATAATATGACGACAGGGAATACCACTGGTTGAAATGCTCTTTTGAAAGTATTGGAATTTCTAAGGGAACTACAACACAAATATACTATACATTATAATACACATACTTATACAAAACAAATCTGTAAGTTTATTGTATTCACTATACTGTTTTATAATTAAGAGTCTGTAATTAGAATATATAATCTAGACATGTTGTTTGGTATACTGTCAAAGGTTGATTTTTGTCATAACATTTTATTTTTAAGTTAAAAAGGTTCAAATTTACCTCTTAGTCAAACATTGGTCTTTCTTGAATATTTTTTTTATCATTTAAAATATGAAAAAACTCAACGACAGTATACAAGTATTGTAATTTTAATCAAAATCATTTTTTAGATAAAAAATATTTTAATTATAGAGTGATTCGGAAGGAACAAAGATTTAAGATTTTCAACCATAGCAATCCAACATGAGGAGTGGGGACTGCTACTCAATTGCTAGTAGGTATGCACAATACTGACTAGTAATGCCCTTCAACGGAATTTGTCAATAACTCAATCGCATATTACCCCTTAATAAATGAAAAACTACTCATTCAAATTTTGAATTAAGTACATAAATATCTTCAAAAATGTATATGTATTTATATTTTAATAATTTATAATGAGTAAGAGGGGTTCTCATTTGAAAAATAAAGTTTTTATCGCCACAGGATGCAGGTGTATATTATTTAGAAATTCTAAAAGTCATAATTTGAATCAATTCATTATAAAAGGAAAAAATGGGGATGAATATTCTTGGTGAATCATATTGCATACATGTAAATATGTAATTAATCATTAATTAATATAAGTACAAGACTTACAGTTGATTATCATTGATGAACTAGCAGTATACATAATAAATAGCAAACTGAAGAACAACAACATTAGATTATCGTGTATAAATGATGCATTAATACCAACACCGAAGTATATCCAACCATATACAGCGCTAACAATAATATGAACCATCAATCTTGTAGTGATGAACTATAAATATAATAAAATACTATGCATTAATATAATTTATGCATACTAAATATTATGTACACGGTAAAAATAAAACTAATATTTCAATTATAAATACTTTTTCTCTTAATGTCTTTACTGTACACCTATGTGATAAAATAGCAAGTTGAATCAAATGATTGGTAAATTGTACATCTTTACATTCATCATTGATGTTAATAGCTAGCAACTGATCTGAAATTAGATGAACCGGGGTTAGATTTTGAAGGAGAGAGCTATCTACAAATCTAACAATCACATCAGAAATTAAACTTGCTTACAAAAACAAGCATAGGCAACATTATATTTTGAGCACTACACGTCTGCACAAAAATAAAACTTAATATTTGTTTTATATAAGCCAAAGTTTGCACTCTGCTTACAATGTAATAAATCTTTTAATTTTCACCAACCTTTAACTAAATGTTTTGAACAAGTATTTTTTAACCATTCAGTAGACTTTCCATTTTTGATATATTTTACCAATTTTTCAGCTTGATTTCCGTACTCTCCAAGACTTATTTCAATAACTATTGGAACCATAAAATATTTTAGTTTTCATAAAAATTATAAAACAAAAATACAGTATACTAACTGTAGTCTGCAGTATTGTGATACAGTGGACATCGTAAACCTTGTACAGCCAAATAATCTAATAGATTTGATGTTAAACCATGATAAATACACTGGCCGGATGGAGTAAGTACATAAAGAATGTCAAATATCTTTAATTGTGAAGCAGAAGCTTGGTGTATTGTACAAATTATGTTACGGCCAGTATCGGCTAGTTCTGTTAATGTGGCTAGTACTTGATTTGCTGACAAACTATCTAATCCGCTAAATTAAATTATAATTAATATAATTAATCCAATCATTGAAATTGTGTAATATTGAATCAAAAAAAAATCATCCTTCATTATTCATGAATTAATAAACAGCTATAAAAATTAAATATGGTAATATTTATAAAAATATTTATTTGATTATGCATTTATGAACAAAAATATTATCATAAGCAAATAAACTAACCTGGTTGGTTCGTCAAAAAACATGATGCTTGGATTATGGACCAGTTCTAATGCAATGGATAGTTTTCTACGTTCACCACCAGATAAATTCATTGTAGCCGTATCTTGAATTTTATGCAGATTCAATTTTTCTAAAATCAAGTCTATCTAAAATAGGAAATATAATACCATTTAATGTGTTTCCTATTAAATTATAGAGAATCACTAAAAGTTAATTTGTTTACCATTTTAAGCTTGCTTGCATTTAACGATAAAGTTAAACATTTCAACTTTGATGCAAATTCCATAGCTTCTCTAACTGTTAATTGCACATGAAGTTGGTCTTCTTGCATAATGTAACATGATTGTTTCTGAAACGATTCCATTTCTAGAGGTTTGTCATTTATAAATATCATTCCACTATATCCACTTGTCCTATAATTAATAAAAAGGATTATTTTTACATTATAATTAGTCAAAGTTTTTATGAATATACTAATTTTACAAAAACTACCAAAAGTGTACTATACAATTAAATATTGTACCTAATAACCAAGAAGAAAGAGGAAAATATAAAATTTTTATTTTTAAAGTAATTTACTTACTTATAACCAGATAGTGCATTTAATAATGATGATTTTCCAGATCCTGAACATCCAATAATTGCACATAATTGACCCTGATAAAACGCACCACTCACTCCTTTTAAAATAGTTTTCTTTTCTGTAAATAAAGTATTATTTAATATATTATTCTTATAATGTTAACTTTTGATTATTATATAAAATTATACCTATTTTAAATGTATCTGTCCAATTGTTTACATTGTATGTTATATCCACAAATCTTAAATCTAGACCTTTGTTTGACAACATTGAATTCAGTTCCATTTCAATTTATCACCAATTAATGTATTATAAATATGATAGCTATATTAAACAAGTGTTTTCAGTACAGCTCTGTCAATATTCAACAAAAATATAATCAGTAAGTAACTCAAAGTTCAGTTTAATAAATAAATAAGTTGAATTAGTCATAGGAATGAGATAATCTTTTTCTGCAGTTGTAAGTAAGTACTGTTGATAAATTAATATGATTACAAATCAATGTCAAGGTGTCAAATAATTATATTTTATATTTAAATATTGCCAGTTAAAATGTATAGTATAACTTACTTAAAAATGGAAAATAATTAAGCTATTCAAAGACTAAAAAAACATGTTTTTTTTAACTACTTGATTATAATAACTAAAAATCGACAAACTGTTCTACTACACTTTACATTCAAAAATTCTAATCATTAGTGACTGATATTACCAACTACAATTACAGAAAAGCAAACATTAAAGCTCAAATAAATGCCAATACCATACTAACGGTTTATATTTCTACATCCAAGGCGTTTCCCCGCATTCTAGTATGAACTATGAGTACGTCATATTTACATTTCTATTGTCAAGTTCGATTAGTCTTAGGCATTCTTCTTTCTTCATTTAATTTTTTTTGTGTAGGCACGTAAGTACGTGATTGTTTTAATTGAAACAAACGTTTTATTGATTGTGGCAACATACTGATGTCGTTGAATATATATTATTATTATTATTATTATTATCTTAAATACACACTCATAACCGAATGCTAATAACGTTCTGAGACAGTGAGAACATGTATCCGAGTGTCAAAACAAGTATGTGTATTAAGCGAACGGTATACAATATTACAATGTACTTAATAATATGCTAATATTTATTATCTATAGCTTAAAGCCTAAAAGACCGGACTAAGTTTATCTTAGTCCGTGCCTAAAAGTGTGGCCACGACTATATTATAGTCTGTGTCCTGTGATGTGATATTGTTATATCCACAGACTATCTTTACCTGTGGTATTACCATGAGGACTATATTATAGAGAATAAATTATAGTCTATAATTTATAGATCATACATCCACCTTGATAGCAGATAGAGACATACTAGAGATAACTGATAAGGAGAGAAGGAGACCAAACTGGCAAACTCCTATAGCCGCCCGTCGTAAAAATGGGCCGACAAAAGTCGCAAGGTTATTCTGCCACCAAGAGCGCGTCGTTCGATAGGAGGGCTACGTTTTCCCACATCCTATGTCATAGACATATAATATTATATGTCTATGTCCTATGTATTATATAATATGTACGTTCTTTTAAATTTTTTAAATTTGGATTTTGAATTAAATATGAATTAAGAATTATTATTCATTACCTGGACTTGTTAAAGTACACAATTAAAATTCAAAATTATCAATGTTATTTATGAACCATGTCATCATGCTATCACAGAATAAAGGTTTTGAAATCGAATGTTGTCATTTTGCAGTGTTTAGAAGTGGTATATATAATAGGTGAACGGCCACCTATATAATATTAAGTTGAGTCAAAGAAAATATGAAAGTAGGTTTGTTATTAGTTATTACCACGATTTAAGATACTATCTTAAACCGTGGTTATTACTTATTATTTAAATTAAAACATGATTTTAAGTTACTCTATGGTGCTACGAAACGATAATCTGTTATGTTATACGAATCTGCAGTGACCAAGTGTGGGTAAATGTATTATTATTTTTTTTTTTTTTTGTATTTTATTATTAATATAAAGTTTTCCTGACAGTCGACATCATCTAAACTTAGGTGTAAAGAATTAATTATTTTTTAACATTTATAAATTAGATCACAATTATGGTATAAATAGTTAAAACTATGGTTTAAAATATACAGAAAAGGATAAGATTGTGTAACATTAACAGATAATAAAAATAATAAAATATAAGACAATGTTTACATAATAATAGTAGATTAATGATTTAGGACGTCGTGTGGGCGGCCGCGTTGGAGTCTGCGACTGTTTGGTCGGGTGAATCGCTGAAGCCTGAAGTACTGTGGACCACTTGCTTTAGATAAATTGTTAAAGAAGCTTACCGATAATTCTTTTATGTAGTTTTTGATAGTTGGAATTTTGAAATCTGTGTGCATTGCGTCATTTCGGACAAACCATGGGGCATTTGAAATTACACGTAGGACTTTTGATTGTAATACTTGTATTTTGTGTATATGAGTTGTAGCACATTGACCCCAGACCGGGGCTGCATATAAAATTAAAGGGCGAATTATTTGTTTATATAATAATAGTGAGCACTTCCAGTTCAATGAAGTTTGCCGATTTATTAGTGGATATAATATTTTTAAGCGTTGGTATCCTTGCTGTAATTTCGATGATATATGAGGATTCCAAGTGAGTTTTTTATCTAATAAAACCCCAAGGTATTTAATATTGTGATACGAAGCTATGTTTTGATCGTTGAACTTTAATGTATTATAATACATTGGTCCGACATACTTACGTAGTCATAATACACATAATACAATAATGTTATAATATATTACAGTGAAAAACAAAAAAAAAAATATGCATTAGTAAAAAAATACAGGTACCCAACCTATTTATATAAATTTTAAATAATTGTATTCTGTAAAATATTATAGTTTATACAATAATTTGGTATACTTACTAGTTACTATTTAGCTATTGAATAATTATTTACTGTATAATTTATAATGAATAATGATATATAATTTTTAAGTATCATAATTTATAAATAATAAATATTGTGTAAAATTATTGAGTAAATAAAAACCGTTCCAATAATAGAATTGATTATAAATAAATAATAATACAATATACAGTATACATAATATTATAGGTACCTAGGTATATTATCTAATGCATTGTATTTTTTTTACACTTCATATTACTCCAATAACTTTATAAATTGATAGATAGCGTTTAGATTATTACGGTAATACCGTTGTACCTACAACAATGCATCAGTACATAACAAAAACACAAACGTACATTATTATTATTATTATTATTATTCATTGACTGCATTTTACAAAATAAATGCAAAATTCAGAAGTAAATAACTTCTTTAATTATTGACCCATAATTATAAATGATACGTCAAAATGCATTAAAAAATAAATAGTATATGATATTATATGAATCATATTTCAAAACTATATAGGTTTCCATTTGAATTTTAAAAGTCACCCCTAAAATCTCCCCCTTTGCATTAATAAAAAAAATAATTAATATCAAATTAGTTTAGATTATATGATTCAAAGAGATTTTCACATACGTCATTTTTTCCTAATTAAAGTACCTATATCATGCTGAAATCTAATGTCACATGAAATTTGGAATAGTCTGTTTATATTTTCCAACGCCACCAATCGAAACACACACACAACAAATTATTATGTCGTGGCTTTATGTTTTGTTTATACTGTTCTTATTTTTGTATTCATTTTGTCACTGTGGATTATAGACTAATACGAACACTGTAAAGTGTTAAGTACACATTATGTACTCAGTCTGTCCGTATGTTACGTTTTCACGCCTAAACCACTAAACCAATTTTGACGATTTTTGGTATATGTATAAAGATAAATGGGACCTTGCCACCTTAGAAAAAACGGTCTTTTTTTGTCTCAAAACTTGGAGGGGATGAATTAGGGGATGTTGAAACATGGAAATCTAATATTTTTTTGTTTATGCTTTTGAACATTTTTTATAAATACTCATAGAAAATCAAAATTTCAAAAAAATCATTGTCAAATATAGTGTATAAGATATTTGATAGAAAAATAGATTATTTCCCTTAGGTAGTAGATACATTATACTTATATTTAGTGACTGTAAAGTCACAAGCTGCGATCCAACTACCCACGCCACGGGTTATTTAGTTGGGTTTAGTGAGGTTTAACGCTGCTAATGGCGTTGGCCGGTATTATTATTTAGAACTAAATTAATTCGATAACAGCAGCGCCATCTACTGCCGACGTATTATACTAACCCCTAATACGTACGTAAGAAACTTTTTTTTTTTTCCGGTTTAATCGACGACCGGGAGGGAACCACTTTCGCATTACTTCCTCCCGGCCGCCATCGTTTATTTAAATAAATGTACACAAGGTTATGGGGGAAGACAGGGCCAATCTCCCCGACTTGCCCCCTCACAGGGTTGTTACAAAGAAAAAGATACTATAACCTATAAAAAAGAACAATTACCAACTAAATAACTAGGGGAAGACGGGGCCAGTCTCCCCGACTTACCCCCTTACAAAAATTTAATATACATATATACAAGTACGTGTTATACAAAGATATACAAAAAATATACAGTATTTTCCGGGTCCGGCTGAACACGCCTCCCTGGGCACCCGTTTTCCTTGGCCTCCGCGGCTTGCCGAGCTCTCTCCTCTTCTTCTTTTGCTGACAGGAGACGTTAGACCATCCTGTATAGGAGCCTAAGGGACTCTGTGGCCTCGCTAATAATTGGCCCACGCAGGTCTGGGTCTGGGGGGAGATCCTCTTCGCGGGGACCGCAGATTACGTCGGAAAGTGTTCTCACCGATAACCTGTGGCCCACGCGACCTGCCAGTTCGACTCTATAGGGTTCCCAGTAGGGACTGGACAGCAGGGTGTGCTCGGCCGTGTCCACGGCGTCCCCGCACTGCACGCACAGCGGACTGATGGCCCTACCCATTCGATTCAAATAGTACTGAAAACAGCCGTGGCCGGAGAGCGCTTGCGTCATCCGGAACGTCATTGGTATCTCCGGGAGAGGCCTACGCATCCACCTCCTGACGTCCTGAATGAGACGCCTCGTCCACTGGCCCTTAGACGAAAAGGCCCATCGCAGTTGCCATAGCCCCAGGGTCGCTTACCTCTCGGTGGCCTTCATCATGGCCAAAGACATCGGCGGAGTTCCCGGAAGTGCGGGCTGTTCGCGACGCCTCCTCAACCTCGCCCTCTCTTGCGCGAGTAGGTCGGCAGGTGGCATGTATGCCAGTAGAAGGGCGACCTCGTCGGACACCGTCCGATAAGCCCTTATCACTCGCAGAGCGACTAATCTTTGGGGGCGTGTTAGAGCGCCGGTGGTCCTCGCGGATGCCGAGACTGCAGTTGACCAGATGGGGGCGGAATAGAGGAGCTGACTCTCCACTACGGAGGCCAATAGGCGCCTCTTCCACTACCCAGGCCCATTGATGTTCGGCATGAGTCTTGCCAAGGCCGTCGCCGAAGCCGTAGCCTTTTTCGCCACGAGCTGCACATGGGTATAAAAGGTCATCCTCGTATCCAGCCTTACTCCGAGGTACCTCAGGTCTTTCAACAGGGCGATCGCGTGACCGCCGGCCTCGTGACGAGGGGGGACGAATGCCCACCTCCTGGATAGAATGACTGCCTCGGTCTTGTGGTGAGCGAGCTCGAGACCCCTGCTCGTCATCCAGGCGTCGATGGACCGGAGTACCGGGTTGACAACGTCCTCCAACAGCTGGCCCGTACTGGCCACGCCCACAACCGCAAGATCGTCGGCGAACCCGACAAGGTGGACTCCACGTGGAACGTTCATCTCTAGGAGAGAGTCGTAGGCGACGTTCCACAGTGTAGGGCCCAAGACCGACCCCTGCGGCACCCCGCACGTGACCGGCCGCGGAGTCATCTCTTCACCGGTAAGGAGCTCCCTGTCCGTGAGCCAAGACCGCAGCATTTCTACAAGATATTCGTGGATGTTTTTTTTCCGGAGGGCTTCGTCGATGACCGGCCAACGGAGCGAATTAGACGGAATTAGGTGGAAGGGGGGGGGTTGTTGGAGCCCCTTGAGGGCCCTGGTAGGTTAGGGTTAGGTTAGGTCCCGCTGTCTGGGTTCTGGAATTCGGTTTTGCTAGAAGTGCCGATTTCGGGGCCCTATATCTCGGCCCTGGTTAGGGCTAGAGTGACCGGGTTTTCGGGGGCCTATCGGTGGTCGCCCAAGGAGGTCAGAGGGATTCGGGGGGGCAAATTTTTGTTCCCGAGACGCTCAGAGCAAGCCCTGGCGAGATATTTTCGTAAAACCGAAAAAACGTACTTACGGTTTTCCGCCTGCTACGCAGCAGGGACAGCGGTGCCGCCTCCGGGGCCGAGCGCAAGGGGTCGCTGTAATCGCTGGACGTACTAAGACTGTACCGTTATCGTGTTGGAGGACCTGCTGAAGTAGACGCTAGTCAGGAGCAGACGTCCGCACGCAAACGACGACCGTACACAACTGAGTACGTAAGAAACTAGCTGTCACGGCTCTTCAGTTTGCTGAAAGATGAGATGTTTCGTGAGGTTTAGATAGGTTACGTGAGGTTTAGATGGGTTTAGTGAGGTTTAGTTGGGTTTAGTGAGGTTTAACGGCGTTGGCCGGTATTATTATTTAGAACTAAATTAATTCGATAACAGCAGCGCCATCTACTGCCGCCGTATTATACTATCCCTTAATACGTAAGCATTGATTAAATACAAAGGCATATATATAGGTATCTATGTTCTAAATATTTATTTTTAGTCTTGTTCACAACAGAATTGTCTAAATCCATCATTGTTAAGGCTATAAAAAGCATTATAATTTTATTGTTTAGGTATACGCAAAACTATTCTGAGCGAAGACGGTCTGTCAGCTAGGGATGTAATGTAAATCGTTATTTTATTCGTAAATATCCGATTTTACAAAAATTATTACCAGAAACTACCTTAAAGTAAAAAATTGAAGCATTTTACGACACCTCACTTATGAAAGACAGAAAAAACATATATAATTGTAAAATAGCTCCACTCAGAAGTCAGAATCTAAAATGTGCTATGGTAAAAAAGTGTTACTCTTAAAATATTTGAATAATCAAATTTTATCTTGGAATTTTATAAAAAATGAATAACTGAAATTGTATGCATTTTTTGGATTTTGAAAAAAAAATAGAAATAACAGTTTGAAAATGTAATAGTTTCATTTATTAGTGTTTTCAAAAAATTACAATACGTAAAACAATAAATAACCATGAAAACCAAACCAGCACGGCGGCACCAGTATTAAATAATTTTGTTATTAAAATATAGATAGAAAGCATAACATAATTTATAATTGCATGAAAAAATCGACACCGGGACGTGCCATCGTATTTTTCTTCTATTATATAGGAGACAAGTTTATTTTTATATTATCATGTATAAAAATAGTTCGGTTGTCTGCGTTCATCGATTGCCGATAGTTGATGTCTATGCTATATTATAAAATTAATTACATGAAATGTTTATTATTATTATGCAACAAAACTGTAGACGCAATCTATGAAATCATAATAACACTAAAATGACTGTTTCCAAAATCTACATTGAAATGGGCTATCTATTTGTATTTAATCAATGATGGTTGCCAAGCCATCTTTAGAAATGAGCTGCAATTATATTTTTTACATGGGTTACGTTATTAAGTTCTGTAAGTTCTGTTAATATAACTATGTGCATAGGCGTGTCCAGACCTCCATGGCTGGGGAGGCCAGTTATAAAATTTAAATTTTTTTACATATTACAGCGATCTATAATATATATCTATATTTGTATCTTATTTTTGTTGTATGAAAATTATACGTATAGCACCTGGAATTTTTTCACCCCGCCAAATTAAAGATTTTCTTGATCTTAAAATTGGTTTTCTTATATGCTATTACAACTATGAACCAATAAATAAGGCCTATTAAAGTATTAACTAATGTGCTACCTACTTAGTTTTTTTTTATAAATATTTTATCAACTATAGGACAGGTAGTAGGTACATCAACCTTCTCTATACATCTTATTACAGTTACTACACAATAAACAATACACATAAAACAGTTATTTATTAGTTTGGTTAAACAAGTAATTTATTAAAATATTACAACTAATAAAANGACATTTTTTCTCATCATCAAAATACCTTAAAACTATTGATAGCTGTTCGTGGTGTCCTAAATCGCTTGTCTCGTCAGCAATAATTGATATTTTTTTATTTTCAATTTTATGTTTTAACTGATTTTTTAGTACTTGACTTATTGATATAATTAGATCATTTTGAATTATATTACTACAGTAAGTCGCGTTTTTAGGACCTAATTCTAAGTGAGATTTAAGAAGAGGATCATATTTGGCCAAAAGTGTAACAATATCTTTGAACAGACCTTTATTGTAACTAGTTTCCTTTTCATTTTTTCCTCGGAATGAACGTCCACCAATACCTATACACAGAGTTATATCAATTAAGCGTTGCATGATTTGTCTATTTTTTAATCTTTGCTGTTCTTTTTGACTGTGTATATGTTCTCTCTCTTCATCTAAAACTGTATCTATTGGCTTTAAATGCAAAAAGTTTGTTAATGAAGTTATACTATTTAAATGAGTGTTTGAAGTTTGGTGTGCTTTAAATTTAGTTGTAGCTAATTTCCAATTATTAAATCCAACTTTTGAATACGTAGACTCTGTATGGCCAGCATTTATTCCTGAAGAATTAGTGAACATCCGACAGGGAAAACAAAAAGCTCTGTCTAATTTCACACTGTACTCAAGCCAATTGAATAATTCATACCAAGATTTATTAAAGCACCGAAATCTGTCTCCAAACTTTGTTCGTGGATACAATTTAAGTTTGGGTTGAAATGGGCCTCGAACAACCCTATCTTTACGTTCTAACTGGGATATCGGTAATAAATTAGCAGGATCATCAGGATTATCAGGATCTAAAATTTTTAGAATTCATGCATAAGATAAACAATTTAAATTTAGTACATTATACTTGATTTGATCATTTAGTGTTTAAAATTTTAAAACTTGTTTTCTTAATAAATTTATTACATAAATAACAACATTTAAATAATATGAAGTATATTATATACAAACATAAATATACAACATTGATCAACACAAATATTATCAGTTAGGTATAACTAATGTAACTAATTAGTAATAAAGTTTATTGATTAATGGTTACTACAAAAGTAAAAAATTACAATATTTATTTACCTAATATACATAATAACAATTTTGAAACATTGAACACAAACAGTTAACCCAACATAGAACATAGACAAAATAACAAATTATTATTATTATAATATTATTTCTACCTATCATTAGGATATACACATGTGACATGTTATGTTCTTACAATCTTACTTATTCTTCTTACTTTATTAACATACATTTTCAATTTTTTTGTTGACAATTGAGTCCTTAGGTCATGGTTAGAATTAACAGATTAATTAACATAAACATAATTAACTAATTAATACAATAATAAGACAGTAACATAGGGGTTAAATACAAAACAATACATAAGTAATAAGTTAGTTACATATAATATTAAGAACAACAATACAAATTAACTAAAACAGCTAACACAATATATTGAACACTTGTAAAAAAAAGTAATTGGGAAACACAAGTGGTAGTTATAGTTAATCACAAATGATATCTCAACACAAAAAAAAAAAATTTAAAGAAAATTTGTTCATACCAGTAGATGCTGTTTCCGATGTTTCCATATTACATGGTAATAATGACTGGAAGTTAGATTTTGACGGTTCAGTTTCACCAGGGTTGGAATTTTCTTAAAATAAATACCATGAAAATTTATTTATTTGAACTTATATTTATATGTAGCTATATTTTAATCATTAACAGTAAATAATACCAATTACCAGTTGAATCTGTTGTAGTATATGAAACACTAGAATAAGGTAAAGGATTGTCTACCTCGGATTCCTCCAACAATGTATATGTATCTGATTGTGTACCTAATTGATTAATACAGACAATTACTTACAAATTCAATAATTTTACAGTGTACTATTATTTAAATTAAATAAACTGATGCAGTTATGTTGTTAGGTATTTACATTTTTTGTGTAAAAATACAAAATATCAAATAAATGTATTGAATTAGTTTAAGGTGTTTATAAAGATAAAAATACTTAATATTTTTACTTACTTGTACTTGGCGTATTATTTTTGAAATAATCAGATATGGTTTTTCGTTTTTTCATGGTTAATGTCTCAATGAAAAACTTTTTGAGATTAAAATCACAATTCTAAATAATCTAACTAATTAAATTATTAATAATATGTTTCGTGTTTCAAACAATATTGTCACATAAGGAAAAAACGCGAGACACGTGTATTATATTATTCAACTATGTACGGAGCAAGCTAGTTGTATTATTATTTACCAAATGATAACAGTGCACTGTGCAGCAGCTACCACCACTACTACGATTTAAATACCGATTATAGACTATAATATTATAGTCACTATAATATAGTCCGTGATTATTACGTAACCCATCTATAGACGAAAACTTTATTGACATTGATAACATTTCTTATCGATCAATTACTGCTTCAGCCACGGATATACTATACTTATAAATATAATCTATAATATATTCTATTATATTCGTGGTTTCACCATTATAATCCAAGAGGCCAAGAACGTCGCTGGGGAGGCCGGTGCCCACCCTGCCTCCCCCGTAGACACGCCTATGACTATGTGGTAGACGTGTCTCACACAATATGTCGACATTTAATTGTAGCTAAAAGATAAGACGGTACCTGCTCTGATTGATAAAATCACCAGTGCTTTAGAGTTAAGTATTATTCAATTATGTGAGTATCTCAGGGAGACCTGATAATATAATGCTCGCTTAACCCAAAATCTCAATCCTCATAACCTCATCTAGCCTCACGGGTAGTCTATATACCGCAGTCAACGCTGGGTATAACTGCTACTCACAATAAACCATATAAGTTATTATTGTTTAAAACTTATATTAGTAACAATAACATTAAAATATTATTTTTAGTGAATATAAGGATGTATGCAATTAATATTTACTCTGACTGACTTGCTAATTTCATAATTTTATTTGTGTGAAATTTCAAATTTGTCTTGACAAAATTGGAGTGCTTTATAATATATTGTAACGGTAAAGACACAAACTAAAACAATCCTTCATAAGGCTATCTTGAAACCGACTTTCAACAAATACCCAACAGAAACACTCGATATCATTCCCACCTGATACAGTACGACACATAATTAAGGCTTAACAACGGGTCGACGATTAGATTAAGCTAACCTAAGTAACTTATAGGTATGCAAATTATACACGCCACAGGGACTCAAGGTATGTAAAATAGTTGTATAATCGATGTATACGTGGAATATAAAAACCCAGCTTTTGACAAAATGAAATATGTTTTTAGATTCTGAGCGGAGTGATGAATGTATATTTTATTTTACAACATTGTGTGTTTTTATACTTCTCTATTTTTTTTTCTTATTTTTTTTTATTTTTTCTTTTTGTGTTTTTTTGTTTCTTGCAGTAAAAGAACTTTGATTTTCTTCGATAGCAATTTTTCTGGTTTTGAAAGTGAATCTAGTTGGTGCATTCGGAAGGTCAAAATTTAAAATTTCCAATAGTCCGCAAAAGAGACAGGTAAAACAGACTAACATTAAAGATAAACGGAACTTTTTACGCCAAACCATTTTTCGAAAAAATGGATTTGGGTTTTTAGTGTAACTCTGACCAAAATGACCATAGATACATGAAATTTTCACTGAATATTTGTGTAAGCATTTTCTATACACCATACAATTTTCAAAACATTTTGATTTGTGTTGAACTATTTACAGGTATATGCAATTTTAGATTATTATTTGTTTTTTTTAAACTAAAGTTGATAATTTTATTCAACTTTTAAATTTTCTAATTCACAAAAAAAATAGTACCTAAATATCAATTATCAATAATAATATCTAATCCACCACCTGAGCAACTTATATATATATGCAAATTATACACACCACAGAGGCTCGAGGTTTGCAAAAACAGTTGTATAATCGGTGTTATACGTGGCCTAGAAAAAACCAGCTTTCGACAAAATGAAATGTTTTTTTGGTTGAATTCAAATGTGAATATCATCAAACTAGGCACTTGAAATTTTGGCCGAATACTTATTATATTAGCATTAATTGTATTCATGTTGAATACTAGTCAACACATTTTAATCCTTTTAGCGATTTAATTCAAAGTCCCTCACAAATCGTAATTATATTATGACTACCGGCTACCTATTTTTGAACTCCATTTTCTAAACTCAAAATAATTTTCCAAGCTTTCAACGTCAGGTTATAGAAGATTTTATATATATAAAACAAAAACTTGCACAATACTCAAACATTCATGAAATGTTGAATGATCCATTACTTAAGATTTAAATACCGAACACAATTTTCTTCTTAAATTTTTTTTTGGAATTTAAAAAATAACTCACTAATATTAAGGTGCATGTATTTGTTTATGAAAACAAAATGTTTAATTTTGGCGAATTTTATATTCTGGAGCAAAATAAAGATTTATCATCCTGCCCTATATATATTTTTTTTTTAACAAATAATCTTAGGTACTTGACACTTTCTCCAAATTTTAAAGTTATCATTATCTACATATGGTATAGTTTTTAAAATGTCTTCCATTTAATTGATTTTGAATATGAAGAAATTTTAGAAATTTTTACAAGACTATTATTGATAACTTGTTATAATAGCAGTTGAAAAATATTAAAAATACTAAGTAACGATTTCTTTTTATAAACATAAAGTTCAATTTGCGACAATACCTAGTTATCAAGTTGAAAATTGAAAATGATTTTGTAGTTGAAAATGTATAAAATGTTCAATTTTTATAGCTAAGGATTGAACATTTAAAACAAGTTTCCACTTCAGCAGTTATTTCAGTAACTAAGAAATCTAAAAAATATACGAATACAGTTAATTTAATAGACATTTTATGTTTAAATTTGGACAAAATTGCATATTAACACAAAGAATAATGGTTATCATTTTGTCGTAATTCGGTTACAAAACAGCCCAATTTTAACCAGGTATATCTAATATTTTTCCAGCATCACTGATAATTTAAGAATAATATTAATTCAACTTACCGGCTATCATATTAATAATAAGTAAGAACAATATAAAATATCCTATAACTGACATACTGTCTCCTCTCAGAATCGTTTTTCGTATACAATAATTTGATATCATTGAATTCAAATATATAATACCATCCATTACACCTTAAGTACAGCAGTACGATATCCACTTACCCGCTTTTTATTTGAAATACAAACAAATTAACGATCAATGATGCATAAAAATAATATAGTATACTCACAATTATATTTTATATTTTTGTGCTTCACGTTTATTATAAATTATAATAATAACAAAATATGTATGCGATACGGGGGTTGTCCCCAACCTAAAGCCCTTGATAGATTTTTCCACTATAGTGCTAATTCGACGATATGCCAGCATCATGCTCTTTGTGCAATCACTAAATATTATCAACATAATAGCAAGTCAAGTTTCGCAAATTACATATTATTACTTTTTCACTTTATTAATTTTTTTAATTGAATTCCTATTGATTACATTAGATAATAAAAAATAAAAATACACCTGCAAAATAGCATAGATAATAATAATGTCACTAACATTTAAGATTAAAATTATTGTAATAATCTTATATATTATATGTAATACATTGTTAAGACAACATGACGCTTGAGAATTGGATAGATTCTTAATACCTTTAGTGAAAATAACAGTGAAGATCATTTAGTCGAAAGGCATAGTAGGGTAGATGGTTTAGTGATCCATAAAATGTGATCGAGTATTTTTTTTGGTGGAAATATGGATGGTCAAAAATGTACTTTTTGTAGTCGAAAAGTTTGTTTTCAAAAC